GAGATGGAAGAGAAAGGTGGTGAATGGAGGAGAAATGAAGGTGGAGGGGATATGAGAGGGAGATGGGGATATGGAGGAGAGATGTAGGGGAGAGGGCGAGATATGGAGGTGGAGGAGAAATGGAAGAGAGATGGACATGGAGGAGAAAGGTGGAGGTATGGAGGAGAGATGATGGTGCACCTGGTGGAGGCATGGAGGAGAGATGAAGGTGGAGGCATGGAGGAGAAATGAAGGTGGAGGGTGGAGGAGAGATGGAGGAGAGATGGAGGAAAGATGGAGGAAAGATGGACAGGTGGAGGACAAAGGTGTAGGCATGGAGGAGAGGTGAAGGTGGAGGGTATATGGAGGACAGATGGAGGAGAGATGAAGGAAAGATGGACAGGTGGACAAACGTGGAGGCATGCAGGAGAGGTGAAGGTGGAGGGTATATGGAGAACAGATGGATGAGAGATGGAGGAAAGATGGGGACGAAGGTGGAGGCATGGAGGAGAGATGAAGGTCGGGATATGACGGGGAGACTGGGATATGGCAAGCACCGAGTCCAGGAACAGGAAACAACGGAAAAAAAAAAGAAAACATGCGGTATTTTGAGCGTTTTCCAGCGGAGGGGATATGGCGAGGAGATGGGGGGTTATAGTAGGACCTGGAGGACGACGAAGGAGAGTAGAGATGGAGGAGGAGAAGATGTGGAGGGAGGAAAAGACGGTACATGAACCCCTAAAGTGCCCTGTACATCAAGCCCTAACGGCCCCTGTGCATCAAGCCTTAAAGGCCCTCTAGATCAGCATGACCCCTGCGCAAGGATGACAAACACAAATCGAGAAAAAGGTCGAACAAAAAAAACAGGGTCCTTCGGGACATCCGTCGCAATGGGAACGACACAGAGATGATTAGCATGACCCTGACGCAAGGATGACACACGATTTGAGAAAAGGTACGGCAAAAAAAAAAAAAAAAAAAAGCTCGACCTCTGCGCAAGGATAACACGTGCAAATCGAGAAAACGTTGGAAAAAAAAAAAAGCTCGATAGATTCGTTACCTGGGTGGGAGAGGAGGAGGACGTGGACGACGAGGACGACGAGGAAGGGGAGGAGGAGGAGGAGGAGGAGGAGGAGGGCGAAGAGGGCGACAAGGAGGGGGAGGAGGAGGAGGAGGAGGAGGAGGAGGAGGAGGAAGAGGAGGAGGGCGGCGAGTGCGACGAGGAAGGGGAGTTGGAGGAGGACGAGCGGGAGGAGAGGAGAAGCATGCAGAGGAGGCAGTGAGGAGGATGAAGGGAAGGTCGATGCTGGTGATACTCCCTCGGCGATGGGGGCAGCTCCTTCCTCACAAGGCAGCACGGCAACACGGCAGCACTTCAGCAGGGGGCGGCACTTGAGAACGGCGGCAGCTCCTCCTTGAAATGGCAACGGTACTCCTCGCAGGAATGGCCGTGACCGACCACAAACCTACTCAACAGGCCCAGCCAAGCCCACACACAGCACAAACAGGTTTCGGAAATTTGAGACCTCGCGGTCCGGCCTTGAACGCGGCCCAAAATTTTTTTTTTTTGGCCTTCGCATCAATTTTGGCGGGGGGCCTCCAATGTGCCATTTTGACCCCCGCCTTGTTTTTTTCTGGGGGGGGGTTGTTCGGGCCGTTCCCTGCACACCTTGCGCCGAGTGGGAATGGTCGGGCGCGTGCGCGGGACGTCGGGAACCTTGCGCACGACGTGCACTTGCAAGTATGAGAAGAAGCCATCGGAGATGGCTATCCATCAGGCAAGGGGTAGAAGCCCTCACCTAATTGAAGATCCGCCAGTTATGATGGTGTCATTCCATTCGTGGGGCAGAGCACGTGCTGGGCCTGGGTCCAAGCATCCCTTTAACTTAACAGAACCGGAGACCTCTCCAACATAGAGCAAGGGTGAGACAAATTGATTACTTCTCACAAACAGGAAGGATTTACCTCCCATCACCTTTTGCACGCGCCAATTTGCCAAAAGAACGTGCCCTACCAGCCAGAGGTGTCAAGATGACGACACTGTGCTGGGCAGCACCGAGTACCCACCCTCAGTTAAGTGCCAGTGTCCAAGCCATACCAGGAAAGGTGGACCATCCTGTGTTCTCCAAAACCTCTTCCACCCTGCAAACACGACTTGAGGTGACCGATTACACCATCAATTCCCCTCACCTCTTTCTCATTGACTACCATTTGCTTAGGCTGACGTTTTCCAACATTCCAAGCGTGTATTGATTGCTCCTTTTACTGGAATTAATTGATCTCAAAGAATTCTCAAATTCTCAATCAATCAAATTAACTGTTTAACATTGTTAAACTGTCATTTGGGTTTGGCTCTACCATTATGAGGGGGGGGCCTTCATTTGATTGCACCTAAATTCCTCAGAAATTGAAAGGAGAGCATCTGGGATACCAGGCCGTGCGCCGGGCTGCTTCTGACTGCTTGGATGACCCTGCCACACCAGGTCCTGGGTCTGGTCCCAACGGCCCCCGACACAAAATCAAAGCAATCGAAACAATAGAAAAGATCTGTGACAAATGTATGTTGTGTAAAAAGTACTGAAAAATTGAAAACAACTTTTTTTTTTTCTTTTTCTTGGAAGGGCAACGACCTTGAGGTATTATCATCAAACGGACCTGCCACCAGTACTGTAGAGTTATTCATTTCGTCTGATTGGATCAGCATTAGAATTTAGAACTCTGTTTATCAACCGTTCATGGAAGTGCGATCCAGCCACATTGGGATGAGGATCACTTTGCAGTTCCATATAAAATTGGGAGTAAAAAATAAAACAAAAAAATCAAATTAATGTACCTGCCTCTAAAGTTCTAAACCCCATTTATTCCCCCCTCTCTTCCCCCTCCGCCATCTGCAACCCAAAACACTGGAAAAGCAAAAAACACCCCAGATTTGGGCTGATCTTGGTGGGAGCAGAATTGCCCACCAGTAATCCAATAAACAAAAAAATTGAAAAAAAACACTCCGGGCCTTTTTGAGCTAACCTGGGGTAACCTGGGCGGGTGACTGCCTGGTTGACTTGCCCAGATGCTCAGCCAGGTTAGAGTTATCAAGCATTATCTGCTGACTTCACACTACCCTTCACCTTGTGTTTTATTGTGGGGAGACGTCTACCTACTCCTGCTCAACCTCCCACTTTTCCACCCGCCTAACTGCAGTGTGGGTGCATGAATCCAAATGAAGCCCAACTCTCACCTGCAAGGGCTGGCTATAGGTCCCCTATGAGACCTTCTATCCCCTCCCTCAATTCACACACCCGCCTGCCCATTACTCATCCACCAGCCCCCCTGCCACACTTTCTTGACCAACTAACAGTTATATAAAGGGCCAACCCTGCTACATCTTCTCCTTCCTCACCTTCCGCGATCCGAAACTCTCCTCAGTTTGTTTAACATCTTTGATTTTACCTTAGTGGAGTGGCACTGGCTTCCATTCCGCGCTATGCTATGCATAGTCCTGAAGCTTACCACCGACTGGCCTAGCGTCTGCACCCGAATGTAACGCCCGGTCATTATCACTGTATCTAGACTGAAAGTTGCACCGAATACAGCTATAACGACCGGGCGTTCTATTCGGATGAAGACGATCGCTCAGCTGGTAAATCAACCAACCGTTGGATGACTTCTAATTCCGATGGAACCAGATGCTGATAGCTCAGTGCGTAGAGCACCGGTTGCAAATGCACATTGTGGTCTCGAGTTTGCGGGTCACAGCCATTCACACACTGAGCACGCATGCAGCCAGGGGCTCTGACTGTGCACAGGGGCTACTAGTACCAGGTCTGAACTGGGGATCCACCCACCAGGTGCCCATCACATGCTGACCCCTGACCGTGCAGTTCCTTGGGCCCCGGAACGGCAGCGTGCAGCTCCCCTTGGGTTGTATGGAGGCCATGGGGGGAGACGAGGGGTGGGCTCAATGGGGATGTGTCGCGGGAGGAGTGTGGGGTTCGCCCCCTTCCTAGCAGGACCGACGCTTATCCCCTCAGCACCCAGCGACTGTGGTGCCACAAGGTCCCGGCTGGGTGCCTCAGGGATACAGGACCCTGAGTTCAGGGGGGGCGCACCCCGGCGTAGCGCTCTGGGTAGCACCGGTCCCAGGGCGAAACTCCCAGGTCTGTGTGGTTGAGGTTGTGGGCTCCTCCTTGAGAGTGGGTGGGTTGGTCCACCTGGCCATCAGGGTGGCTGAATCCAGTATGTGCGGCCCTGCCGGCTCTCCTCCCTCAGTAATATCCCTGACACCCCTACAACCGTTTTTGAAACAAAAAAACAAATCCAGTCCTCTGAATTTAGTTTCAATTGACCTGGGGCTGGTCAGTTCAAAGATGATATCTCAAGGCCGTCACCCTTATTAACAAAAAAAGGACTCCTGAAGCTTGCCTCCAAACTTGCTCCAGATCACAGACTCACACTCTGATCTTCTTTGACGTGATTGACAATGTGATTTGCGTGCAAAGTATTGGTGGTAGCTGGCAGACTATGCACTGGGAGCCCGGGAGCCTGCGATAGTTCCATGCAGTGGGATGCACTGATCTTCCAGCATTAGTCATAGCTGGATGCTCGTAGGCATCACATTGAAGAGATTGTATAGTGGATGATATCACAAGAGTGATGCAGTGGATTCCGTGTATGCAAAGGAGCATAGTAACTGATGCAGGGTCGGTTTCCTTTTGTTCAGGTGTGATTTGGCATCCTAGAGTTCAGACCTTATGCCTGACTAAGTCATTCAACTCTTTATCTGACGACTTTACTAGATAATAATGAGCTCAAACTGGCTTCACCTCTCTCTCTCTCTCTCTCTCTCTCTCTCTCTCTCTCTCTCTCTCTCTCTCTCTCTCTCTCTCTCTCTCTCTCTCTCTCTCTCTCTCTCTCTCTCTCTCTCTCTCTCTCTCTCTCTCTCTCTCTCTCTGTGTGTGTGTGTGTGTGTGTGTGTGTGTCTTTGTCTGTCTTTCCATCTCTCTCTCACACAATGCTGTCTATTGCAGAAGGGAAAGGGGCCTCCCTCCTGGAGATTGTCTGAATGTGAGGGACATAAACTATGTGGAGACGAAGTATGGATTCATTCGCTCTGGATATACTGGACCTGTGGATCCTGTCTATTCCTATGATGTTGCTGCCACGGAATACAGAGGTAACCGCTGACGACCTGAATAATACACCTTTCCAGAACTGTTTCCGCAGCCATTCTGCTATTTGTACACTGATTGTAGCTGAGTGTCTTTTCATTATGGACAAAATATCACAGTTGTGATGGATTTGTATGCATGCACATTCTTCAAGCCACCACTTTCCCTGAGGGCCTTTCTGCATCGCACCCGGTGTACACAGTGCTAGCAGGTCATGCCAGTTGCAGCCCAGAGTAGCCCCAGGGCACCTGTGAAAATAAAAAATAAAAAAGAAGTCTGTGGCCGAAGACAGCCACCGTCAGATTGTTATTTTGATAAAAGAGCCCATTGCAAAACTAAACATCAGGCTCTTCCAACCAACGCGTGAGATTCGGCAACTCAATGGTCGCGGAGCAACAGTTTCAAGTTTCAACATATTTTCAGGGACCGTGGATGTATGAATGTATGTACGACGTACCATGTTTGGTGTGTATTTTTCCAACCATCCTGATTTACGTCAGGATGGTTGGAAAAATACACACCAAACATATTCCATACTTCTCGTTCCCACCAACCAGCTGCCGGAAATATTTTGACTACTGAACAGATGGGAGTTATTTCATCTACACGTGTATGTGCACGAAGACGTGAGTTATACTGAATTCTCAGTAAGTTATACACCACTACGCCCCTCTGTGTAGGCCGAAGGCCACGGCTCTTGCCCGGGTTCACTATAATAATACGACACTACATACAAACAAAGGTATCTATCGCACGTATACTCACAAGTCATTGGTCTGTCTTTTATATTATTAATTAGTAGTAGCTCCACGTAAAGTCTCTGAGGATCCTACACAGACATATGTTGGTTTCCTGCGGATTGCCCTCTAATTGAATTTAATTACTATTACTTACTATCTAGAAATTAAATTCATTCTATCTATTAATGTAACTGTTGCAAGCTCTCTGGCATTCTGCAAGGGTAAGGGCGATATTGCTGCGCGGTGGAGGTTCCAAGTAGGAGAAGTCGAGCTGATGAGATCTTCAAGTGATTTCAATTTCATATCCTAGCCAGCTGCTCTGTGGAGTTAGCGTATATGGTTTGTTCAGTGAGGTTGACTCTGTAATATTGTTTTGATGCATGGGTCTGCGAAGCACGCAACATTTGATTGCTACATTTGTGGTTACAATCTACGAGATGTAATAGGATATGGAAATATGGATTCTCCACTGCATGAGTTCAATAGAAGCTTTACTAGTGCAGGCTACCTTGTTGGTTGGTAATGACTGCAAAGGAACTTGAGGAAATGGAAGCTCACCTGATCTGGAAGTGAGCCCGAATGCTCCGTTTGCAAGGAACATGAATGTGGACGAACCAGATTGCAAAATCACACTGAAGTCCAAGTAGTCAAAGCAAGAGCAGATAGCACAATGGAACCGAGTAACCATCCATTTGAGAACAATACAGAAGAATTGTGAGTCAATGTCCAAGCCCAATCGGGCAACACCAACAGCATAACCCAATGTAAGCTCTCTCTCTTGAATGGCGCCAGGCGCCCTACCTACTCTACAGCCTATCACTACAACTAAAGCATGAAAGCAACCAGACAACTTGACGACCAGTGAGTGATGATGTCAACACCAATGCCGACTTCCCCTCCTTCCAGGTACGTCTCTCTCTTCTCCCTCACTCTACCTTGTCATCCCACACAGCGCCCTTCACCTCCGAAGAACCACCTTTGCCCTTCCTCCTCTGCGCCCACAGGCAGCCCGGCTATGGCCGCCAGCGCCCTGCGCCCAGGCAGCGCTCTACCGCTTAGCGCTAGCCTGCCTCTACCTCAGCCTAGCGCAGCACAGCACAGCGCAGCACTTCGCATTCGCGCAGCGTGCTGGCATTGCCCGCAAATGCCAAGATCCCTGCCCACTCGCCCTCCCTGCCTATATGCCAGTGTTGCGTGTGGGCGGCCTCCCTTGAGCCTGTGCCTGGGCCCCAGTACCTGTACCCAGGCCCGATGCGATTGGGGCCCAGGAGGTGCAGTTGCGCCTCTTTCATCAAGGCCTGCGGCCAGATTCAGATAGTGGACCGGTTTCCCATTGGCATTTTCGGCCTCTATATCCAGCGTGCATTGTCGGCCTCACATGGCCTAACCAACTCTGGGGCCCTGGGTTGCTGCATATGCAGAGCTCCGATGCTCGGTGCACTCCAACCAACTGGCGTGCTGCAACTGTATGGACCCCACTTCGTGAAATGTTTGCACAGAGGGCTCTTGTTGATTTGCTGGCCCGCCTTCACTTAGGGCGGGCACGAGGCTTGCTGGGGCCTTAGCCCAGAACATGTACATCATGGCAGGGCCCCTTCTTGAGGGCTCAATCCTCGCACGTTCTTCGTTCTACTGTTATGATCCTGGCCAATTTCGAAGTACACGTTCATCAGAAAGTACAATGCTGTCCAATTGTGAAAAGAAATGAATGAACTTGAGAGGAGAGAGAGGGAAAGAAGAAGAAGAAGAAGAAAGAAAGAAGAAGAAGATGCACTCCAGCAAAGACCAATGGTAATTCCCTCCTTCGTCGCTAAACACTCTCCTCCTCCTTTTCTCCTTTCCTCTTATTCAATCAATAAATAACAATAATAATAATAATAATGTTGAATGGCTGAACCATAATCAATGTCCGAATCCCTCTTCTACTGCAGGTCTCACATGAGGTCCACCGTAGCCATGGCCACCCTTCTTCCTCCTTCCTCCAAGGCCGAGGCCATGCGGACTACCAGGGCATTGCCCTGCTGTGCAAAGGACAACACAAAGCAGCTATGGCTGCTCCTGTTCAGGCCGCCATGCCTGACTCTGCCTCGAAGCTTCTTGGTGCAGCTCTACCCCAGCGGGGCCTTCCAGATGCAGAGTCCACCAAGGTGATGAAGATGGCGTCCACCATAGCCAGGTAAGTACCTCTGGCGCTCCCCCCTTTCCTAGTCCTTGTCTTCCTCCTCCTCCTGTCCTTGCTCCTTCCCCAGCAGCGCTGCTCTATGCTAGCGCTGCTCCAGCCAGCGCTCCAACCAGTGTGTCACCAAACTTGCACACCGAGAATGAGGAGGAGCACTTCACTCCTCCTGGAGATATAGCAGCCTGCTTGCCCCTTGGCGAGTGACTTCCTAGGCCGCGCGGCCTTCAGGCAACCGGTACCTCCTCCCATTCGGAGGGAAACATCATTTCAGACTCTGATATTGCCCGTACAGGCCCTAGACTCAGACTGGTTGGACTGTTACCCGCCTAGACCTAGCCTACAACTACTGGGCCTCTAAAAATGCCCACTTTGTCTTCTTCTGCTCGGCCTCGAGTACCTGGCACATCTACCTCTTCCTGGTGAGGTACCGGCCTACCTGCTACTTGAGTGTTTTTCCACTGCTCCAAGTGTCGTGGGCCTCTTTCCCCACCACTTGAGCGTTTTCCCCGCCGCAACCCTCAATGTCACGGCCACATCTAAGTACCGGCCTTTTGGGCCTTCCCCACGGACAAGTACCCTTGCGGGTCACCCACACACTCAAACCGATGAGCACTCAGACAGGCACGCAGACCAGCAAGCACGCACACACTCAGACTTAGAAAACTCAGCAACAAGTGGGGAACTCAGCAAGGCAGACATTCCA